TCCTCGGATACTCCGAATTCGGTCACTAGCGCGCCCAGATGATCTGCCCTACGCGATAGTGCATCAGCCACTTTGTTGTACTCTCCCTTGATTGGGTCAAGTTGATAGTCATACATGACTATCACTTGAATCCACCGTTTAAGGCCATCTGAGAGCATAGGCTGAGTCCTAATCTAGCACAATGTCTCATGGTCAGACCTTACATCGAGGACTTTGCCAAGGAGATAGTGCCTCCAATGGACCAGCGCTCGACAAAGGGCATAGAGCTCATGCTCATACCTGGACCTGGCCAGTTTCTGAGATGGCATCTTCTTACTCATATACTCGATCGACCTCAACTTCTTCATTTCCTTTTGCGCCAGGACTGCGCATATGCCATATTGGCTGACGTCAATGGTCATTATGAAACGCTGATCAGGGTCTTGAAGCTTGAGAATTTCATAGTGTGTCAAAGCATACTTCAATTGCTTGAAGGCTGCTTCACACTCTTCAGTCCACTCCCAAGGGGTGTCAAGGCGTGTAAGGTCAGTTAGAGCAGAGGCTATAGTACTACATTTTTTTACAAATGGTCTATGATAGCCTGTCATCCCAAAGAATGACCTCACCTCAGTCACTGACTGAGGTGTGGACTAGTCACGTATGCTGGCCACTTTGGCATCGTCCGACCTCAATCCATCCGTGGAAATCTCATGACCCAGGTACATGATCTTGGTGCGCCCGAACTCGCCAAGTTGACCTTGTATTGGTGCTGTCCTAGGAGACCTAGCACTGTTTTCACGTGCTGACCGTGCTCCTCTAAGTTTTGGTACATGGCGATAAACTTGTCTAAGTACTCGTGAAAGATCAGATTCATTGCGTCTTGGGATGTCCCAGGTGCATTGCATAGACCAAAGGGCATCACCACAAACTCATACAGACCGTACCTGGTCTGAAATGCGGCTTTGTAGTGATTCTCAGGTGTAATGGCAATTTGATGGTATTCGAACTTCAGGTCTATCTTTGTGAAGTACCGGCATCCCTGCATTCTATCCAAGAGGTCGTCGATGCGGGGTAGGGGCTCTGCGTCCTTAACGGTGACGATATTAAGGCCCCTATAGTCAATGCACATTCTTAGGAACGAATATGACTGGAGCACCATAAGGGGAGGTACTAGGCCGAATCCATCCCTTCTCTGTGACCTCTTTGAGCTGGTGGCGGAGCTCATCCAACTCCGCAGGAGACATTCTATAGATCCCTCCTCTAGGTACTTTGCTACCCGGGACGACTTTTATCGCATGGACAACCTCCCTTTCTACCACACCACTGGGCTCCTCAAAAAGGTCTTCGACAATCATACTATTGTGATGACCCGACCAAACATGGACTGAAACTCACAGCTGATTTCTGAGTTTTGCTCATAGACTGAATTCCTTGTTTAGTTTCCCGCTTGCTACTAAGTTCTTTAAGTCTGTGTGGATGCACGCTTGCTGGACTGCATGTCTATCTGAGTGCTGGTTGCTTGAGTGTGTGTGTGGTCCGCAAGGGCACTTGTTCGTTCGTTGGGCCCTCAGGGCCGATACTTACCTGTGGCCGTGACATTGAGGGATTGCAGCACGGGAAAACACTCAAGTAGCAGGTAGGCCGGTAGCGCACCCTGAAGAGGTCGATGTGCGGGTACTGGAGGCCGAGCAGAAGAAGACAAAAGTGGCATTTTTGAAGAGGCCTAGTAGTTGTAGGCTAGGTCTAGGCGGGTACCAGTCCAACCAGTATGAGTCTAGGGCCTGTACGGGCAATATCGGATGTTTCCCTCCGAAAGGGAGGAGGTACCGGTTGCGTGGGAAGGCCGAGCGGCTTGGAAGTCACCACCCAAGAGGCAAGCAGGCCGCTATATCTTCAGGCCGGGCGCAAAGCCCAGTCTCATTGTCGGTGTGCAAGTTTGGCGACACACTGGATGGAGCGCTGGTTGGAGCAGCGCTGTAGCGAACCTCTGGTTGGCCTGTGAGACCAGCCCCTTGGCCTGTCCTCATAGGCCTGTGTTGTATTCGGGGTAGTTCGGTCCAGGCCGGTACCTCTGTCGGTACCAACCGGTCCAGTCCAGTCCAGTCAGTCCGATGGGGTATACCCCAGCTGTTGTTTGTTTTTCAGGTCATTCTACATTCGCAAGTTTGGAGTCTGTGCGTTGGAGTCTCGCATGGGAGTTGCGCTGTGCCATCTTGCTCCACTCTCATCCTCCATCTCCATCTCTATCCCAGCCAGAGCACCATACCTGGTGGGCCAAGGTCGTCGCACACGCACACACACGCGCCATGTGCCCACGCTGCCCTGCCCCGCCTTGCCCCGCTCTCGGATTTACTTATCAAGATTCGGGATGCACGCTGCTGCCAGGGTTTGAACCTGGGCAGCTGCTGGCTATGAGCGTGCGTAGCCACCTCTATAAAACACTAGCCACAGTGTATGCATGGTCTGGTAAGGTGGCACGATGGTGTTGAAGATGTGTCGTGCCATGCCAGCTATTTACACCCCCCCC